AACATTCAACCACGATCAAGAGGAAAGGGCTGAAGTTAATAACATATGCAACCGACTGAGGCATATCATAAAATTCAAACCAAGGTTATGTTCACATGATAAAGGAGGTATTTACCGCTGAACCGTCAACCCTACCAAGAAGCCGTGGTCCCAACCGCCTGCCTAAACAATCTGAAACAGAGCAAGGAAAAACATGAATATGAATCCACTATCATCAACGTCACAAAACAACTAAGAAAGGGTTTGTGGTGGCAAGGAGAAGCTAAAATAGAGGAAGCATTTAAGAATGCATAATTATCAATAGAAAATGAGAATATCACAATGGCCATTAGCACATCAGATGAACAAAGAAAAACAAGCATTTCAATTGGAAGGGGAAAAGAGAAGTAGATGTTTCTTTAGAAACCATGGAAATTCCACGAATGGCTAAATTGAGTTTCTACTGAGCTTCGTACTAGATCAAGGAATTGGAGATTTTCCAGCGCATTGCGTTACATTCATATCGAGGAAAAAGAGAACGATTAAAAGTCAAGAAAAAGCATCTCAAAGACACGCAAATCATCTAATCATAAGCGCTTCATTTGATATGCTCACAAACAAAAATAAATCTCTCATCCAATGAAGAAATCACGCAAGGCTTCAGCAACCATTCGATTATGAATGCTTAAGATCCGTATCATAGATTCGCAGACGGATGAACCAAAAGAACGTAAAATTATTTATTTGTAAAAAAAACAAAAAGATCAAAAACATAATAAAAACAGTATAGTATAGAATAGTATAGTACCAAAGGAGGAGCACTTATTGACGCCTTCGAGGGTAACGACGGCAGTGAGGATAAAGACAAAAGGCAAGAGAAATGCGAGGAGGAGGAAGGTGTGGAAAATGGTCCGGTAAGAGATATGGCGAGCTGCAACCTTGATCTTCATGAAATCAATAAATCCATTATTGGTCGAGATCGTGATGCTTCTCATGCTAGGCGAGAAGTGAAGCTGCATCATCCTCTATGCAGCTTCCTTCAGGTAGTCATCGTCGGCCACGACAACTGAACAAAAAGAAGAAGGAGAACAACAACAACAACAACGACAACAACAACCCTAGCACAGGCTCCCCAGGAAGACGCCTACCACCATCCATGGCGGCCAAATACCACCATGAAATCTAAGCTCGCATCACCCGAACCCCCACCGACAATGAGTTCCAGACAGAGATCAGGAGTCCACAAAGAGAAAAAGAAAAACCCAAAAATCGCTCAAGATTCCGCTCCAAAAATCGCTCAAATGCGTTGCTGAGGCAAAACTGGATCACGAATTCCAAATGGGAGGATGAATTGGGGTCGTGCGGATCAGAGAGTTGGAAGAGTTTAGAGAGAGAAAATCGTTGGTTGGTGTTACGGTGGCTTTGGAGGAAGTTTTGTTTGGGAAAGATTGTAAAAACCACTCCCCATTGGCGGATGCCTTCGCTTGGCTTGGCTTCGGATCTAATTTGTTTGTGTATTAAAAAAATAAATAAATAAATAAATGAAAGAAAAAGAAAAGAAAAGAAAAGAAAGTAATTAAATAAATAAATAAATGGTTATAAATAGTACTTTTTTTTTTCTTCTTCTTCTTCTTTTTGTCGTCAAATTAAAACTACATTTTTTAGGCATTGGTAGAGAGGGAAACATGGGGGACCCGGAGACCTGTGGCTGCTAAATTTTCGACATTAATTTTTACTACAATTAATTATTAATTTTCCACATTAAACAAAACTCATTATTCAAAATGCTTCGCTAGCCTCAAAATCCACATATATTGCATCCCTCGGCTCAGTTCAATAGGAGCCCATGATCGTCTAGCTCACTCTACCCCTGTGTAGATTGAGCTTGGTGTCACAACCATACTGTGAAGAGAGTAGGTTGTGACCCTCACGTCATGACAAGCGAAGTGGCATCCCTCAAGAGATGCCCATCCGGCCATATACGGGCCAATATAGAAGAGTGTCATGATGCGATCGAGGAGGACGATGCATCATCCAACACACCACCACACAAAGTGGGCATTGAAGACAAGTTGAGACATCAGCAATACAAAGACATCAAAATAGACATGAAGGACAACCTACTCTCTTCACAGTAAGGTTGTGGCATCCCTCAAGAGATGCCCATCTGGCCATATACGGGCCAATATAGAAGAGTGTCATGATGCGATCGAGGAGAACGATGCATCATCCAACACACCACCACGCAAAGTGGGCATTGAAGACAAGTTGAGACATCAGCAATACAAAGACATCAAAATAGACATGAAGGACAACCTACCCTCTTCACAGTATGGTTGTGGCATCCCTCAAGAGATGCCCATCTGGCCATATACGGGCCAATATAGAAGAGTGTCATGATGCGATCGAGGAGGACGATGCATCATCCAACACACCACCACGCAAAGTGGGCATTGAAGACAAGTTGAGACATCAGCAATACAAAGACATCAAAATAGACATGAAGGACAAGATAGGCTTGTTGAAGGGCTGGGTAGGGCCCCGAGCCTTAACCTCAAAAGTCGGAGTTCCGGAAGGAATTTGGGCATGCAGTTCGGGATTTAAGTTCGTCCATATGAAATATGAATGCTCGCAAGTTTGGTGTCAATCGAACATCGGACGGACAATGCACGACACCGTATGACACCTCACCAAAATCATGTCTACGCTGGTAGAATGAAAATGACTCAAAATGTACTATAGGGGTACCATGGTGTTAGCTCTCCACAACCCCTGGGCCCTGTGGCCTAAGTGAGCTACCCTATGGCACATACGTGTGTCACAGTGTGGATGAGCGTGTCGAGACGAGTGTCTCGGGCGACTTCCTTTGAAATGGATTTTTAAAGGATAGTACCGGGCGGCACGGGTGTGCCGGTATTGCGCCCTAGCCCACATGTTGGAGGTTGCTACATACACCCGCTATCCAGTACTGTATCCGTAAATGACTCGGCATGGGCACGGGAGGGCCTATGTCTTGATAGAACCTGGATGGATGGATGTTTGGGAAGTCCTGATGAGATGAACGACATGTGGTCCCATTCTCGATGGCATGACCGAATGAGTTATGATGGCCGACGACATCCCAAGACTCGTGATGGCATCAAGATATATGGACCCTGTCGATGGGGATCAAGATGGAAAGATGAAATGCGACGTTGTACTGAGAAACCTTGGCCCGAGCAGAGGCAAGGTCAAGCCGAATGAGTGGGCCTAGTGTAGAGGCAAGTCGGATGTGTCGCCGAGGATTGAAAATGCACGTGCAGGCAGCGTGTGTGGTTGAACAAGCTTGGATTCTGCACAAGCGATGTTCGATTGGCGAAGACAAACCTCACCTAAGGTCCGACGAAGCCACAAAGCCGGGGTGAAAAATATATATGGGGCTTAATTCCCCTCAAGGCTAGTCGTGAGCGTGTCAAGATCATGACGCCGCACGGTAAAAAAAAATGTAGGAGCGTGACAGTTGGTATTAGAGCCACACTTTGTGTGTCTAGTCAGGCAAGACAGTGAAGAGAAATGAACCCAAGAGTTGATCGAAGACCTTGCAAGTGTGTCAAGAGTGCCAAAGTGGGCAGAACAGTTGCTGGTCAGAATTATAATAAGTTGGGGGTTGAAGCCAAGACTACCCGAAGTTCAATAGTGTCCTGTGTCGACACCTCAATATGGGGAGATCTACCTGTCAAGCAAAACTAAGCTCATCTGACAGGAGCTTGTAGTTTCGAAGTGGACAAGACAGAGGAAATAGGAAGCGCACCCTGACGGTGCCTCCCAAAGAACCATTCACATTAGAAGAATAGTGTTAGTGGTGGCAAGGAGAGAAGCCGAGAGTCGAGAAAAGACAAACGTCGGGCAGGTGCAAAAGTTGAGTACAACGTAAGTCCTTATGGGGGGACGACCTTGCTGCAAAGAGGTAGCCGAGTTCGAGCAGGGGAGAGCAACATCAATAAGTCTCTCACCCCGTAAAGGTGCTCGGACATACAAGCACACGCGTATTCCTTAAGCCACCACCTTGTGCCTAAGGTGGATGACTCCACAAGAGATGTCAAGACCAATATCCGCTCGAGAAGTGAGCATCAAGCTAGAAGTTCAAGTACAACAATAGTCACACGAAGGTGGCAAAGTACACAGAGTTGCCCGGCAACAATTGAAGAGACCGTAAAAAAGTTTTTGACTTTGCTCAATAGAAGAAGTGATCGCGACGAAAGAGTGTCGTGGCTGGGCTTGCAAGCCCCACCCCGAGGGGTGCACGAATTTATGTGATCCATAGAGGATACACACACAGAGGCCAAGTTGACCACAACAGGGCAAAGTGCCCCTTTTAAGTCCATAGTAATCTGGTGAGTGTCTGCAAAAAGAGTCAGCCTCACCCACAACTATGGCAAATACTGAATAGCCACGTCTACGTTGCGAGTCTCGGTGGCCGAGTCCAAGATGGGCGAACAACAGAAATAGGTCCGAAGGGAGATAGCCGTAGATAGTAGTACCAAACCAAAGGGAGGCAAGTTCACCCAACAACTGACCAAGTCAAGAATCAAAACGTGGTGTCACATGACAAAAGAGAAGTCAGAAGCATCTACTCGAACTTGTTCCCAAGTTGGCGGAAGACGTCTGCAAGAAGAGCATTATGACAAAAGATAGTTAGGTGCTGAACAATTGTATACTTTTCTGAAACACAACCAAATCCAGCGAGTTGAGTCGCCAACGGTTAGGGAGTTTGGATCGTCATTGGGACGATACCGAGATTGAGTGGGGGAGAATTTCACAATCAATGGGGCGAATGCGCCTCGAGAAAGTCATCGAGGACGATGACTAAATTAAGTGGGGGAGAATGTCACAATCTGTAATATGATTGTGACCCGAGTAAGTCATCGAGGACGATGACTAAGTTAAGTGGGAGAAAATGTCACAACCATACTATGAAGAGAGTAGGTTGTGACCCTCACGTCATGACAAGCGAAGTGGCGTCCTTCAAGAGACGCCCATCCTGCCATATGCGAGCCAATATAGAAGAGTGCCATGATGCAATCGAGGAGGACGATGCATCATCCAACACACCACCACGCAAAGTGGGCATTGAAGACAAGTTGAGACATCGGCAAGACAGAGACATCAGAATAGACATGAAGGACAAGATAGGCTTGTTGAAGGGCCGGGTAGGGCCCTAGGCCTTAACCTCAAAAGTCGGGGTTTCGGAAGAAATTTGGACATGCGGTTTGGGATTTAAGTTCGTCCATATGAAATGTGAATGCTCGCCAAGTTTGGAGTCAATCGGACATCGGACGGACAATGCACGATACCGTATGACACCTCATCAAAATCATGTCTACACCTGGTTAATGAAAATGACTCAAAATGTACTATAGGGGTACCATGGTGTTAGCTCTCCACCACCTCTAGGCCCTGTGGCCTAAGTGAGCTACCCTGTGGCACATACGTGTGGGCAGCGTGCCGAGAAACGAGTGTCTCGGGCGACTTCCTTTGAAATGGATTTTTAAAGGATAGTACCGGGCGGCACAGGTGTGCCGGTATTGCACCGTAGCCCGCGTGTTGGAGGTTGCTACATACATCCGCTATCCGGTACGGTATCCGTAAATGACTCAGCATGGGCACGGGAGGGCCTATGCCTCGATAGAACCCAGATGGATGGATGTTCGGGAAGTCCCGATGAGATGAACGACACATAGGCCCATTCTTGATGGCATGACCAAATGAGTTATGATGGCCAACGACATCCCGAGACTCGAGATGGCATCAAGATATATGGACCCTGTCGATGGGGATCGAGATGGCAAGATGAAATGCAACGTTGTACTGAGAGACCTTGGCCCAGTAGAGACAAGGTCGAGCCGAATGAGTGGGCCTAGTGTAGAGGCAAGTCGGATGTGTCACAGAGGATTGAACATGCACGCGCAGGCGGCGTGTGTGGTTGAACAAGCTTGGATTCCGCACAAGCGATGTTCGATTGGCGAAGACAAACCTCGCCTAAGGTTTGACGAAGCCACAAAGCTGGGGCGAAAAATATATATGGGGCTTAATTCCCCTCAAGGCTAGTCGTGAGCGTGTCAAGATCACGATGCCACTCGGTAAAAAAATGTAGGACCATGACACTTGGCACAGTCCAACGTCGACCCAACACTTCCAGTTCATTCAGAAGCCTAGACTCAACACATCCTAGATCCAACTCACGAGCCTAACTTGTCAGCGATCTTACTTGGACTGTGACCCGTAACCCCTCCTTGCCTCAGCTTAGCACAATCCAGTGACTCGTCTCAATGCATTCGGCTGAGTTTGCCTATTTTGAACCTCATTATTAAGTACATTTTAAGGTTAGTATGGTTGTTGTTTAGTCAATTTAAAGTATTTTAAGCCAAAATTTTATACTAATTGATGTCGTTTAGCTAACATGTTTTAACACGAGGTTGTGGAACTCTTTAGGTGGAATTGGAATTTAAGAAGCAAGAACCAAGGAGCTTAGTGACTCTAGCTTAGACCAACCAAGTGGTTTTACAGTTGGAATGCTCTCGGGGTTAGTTGAATGGCTTGTGTGATGTATAATTGATACGTACCTATGGTCCTTTACGTGTCATATTTTTGTGATGTTATAGCGTCATTATGTTATGTTATGATTTACATTATGATAAAAATGTTATATGATGCATGTATTTCCAGTATGTCATGTGATAAGAAAACCTTAGTCAGTTGAATCTAAAAACCCTCGTAAACACCTGGATATGCAAACCTCTATTTCACAAATGCTAAAACACCTAAATCAATTTGATTTCACCGCAAGTGAAAGTAAGACTTGGATTACATTGTTGATCAAATATCTCAAGTCAAGAACATTTATTTGAGATTTGAATCACTTTACAAGCAAGATTGATCTTGTCAAGCTTGAATGATTTGAAACATCGAATCTAAACTACATAGAATTGCAAAGAAACTTAGCCCTGGCTAAAAGGAAGCACAAATGCTCCTCTTACAACATTTTCCAAGTCTACTTTACAAATATAACCTACGTGGCTTTATATAGCCTCAAAATAAAGACCCTTGACCTTCTATGTGGTATTTTAAGAATGGTATACTTCCTACTTTATCACAATAATTAGCTACTATGTAAATGTAACCTTAAAGTAGACAAAAGTCTTAAAATATATTAAAAAAACATCATACCTATAGATCATCATCCACCCAAATTTTGTAATCATCCAAGAATAAATAAAGTTTGATTCTTCTTTAATGTGGAAATTGCAATATCTTATGACAATTTGAACAACATTTTCTTCACATCTTTCCTGAAGTTTATATTACATTATCAATGTCATGTCTTGGTTCATGTCATCATGTCATGTATGATACGATAGCATGCTCCATTATGCCTATGAGACATTGATGAGCCATGTATATTAGCCATGATAGATATGTTGAGTATACATATGTATGTCTCATAGCAACATTATGTCATGGAAGGAATAGAAATAAGATTACCATAATTTGAAATTGTGAGACCTCATGCATGTTGTATGTCATGAGCATTGGAATATTTCTCCAATATGATAAGTATAGACATGTACACTATGATATGATACACGCTCCTTTCCCTTTGTGGCTTCTGGCAACATGAGCGTGCACTAGCCCGTAGTCAGACCTCGGGAGTACATATACGAGTTTGTCTAGTGGATTCATGCGCGCACGGGTAGAACATGTGTGGAGAAGTACTACACATCCATTCCTACCCCGATTGAAAAGTAGAGCACAAGGAACAGTTGATAGGTCTCCTATGAACCATAATTGCATATGCTTGCATTTTCCTGGAGGGACTATTTACTGACTATTTATAAATACTCAAGCCACTTTTTCTAAATTTTTTTTTTCAGGTAAAGGCAAGAGAAGTGACGGCAACCGTTGAGGAGGTCATGGAATGAAGTCATCATAGTTAAATTTTTGCATTTAAGTCATAATCTTTATATTAGGATAGGTACTTTGATAAGAGATGTTTTGTTTTTAGTTTTCAACTATGTTATTTTTACGATGCTATTGAAAATGAATCTATAGACATTTAAGTCCATAGCAATATTTAAAGCGAATCGTCTCGAATGATTTTTTTGCATACAATAGTCATGACATACATGTAGTAGCAGCCTTATTTTAAAAGAAACATTAGGGTCGTTACTCTAAGCTCGTTCTTATGTTCTAACCATCTTTTATAAACTATCACCAAATAACTTAGAGTGACAAAACTATAATACGAGTCTTCACCAGATCATTATGTAACACTTTCCATGCTTTTTTTCAACCATGCTCACTACGTCATCTTAAAAATAGCTCAAACATTCAAGATGGTGGGGAATATGAACATATCATACATACACTATAGTTCGTAATTTTGAGGTTGATCAAGCGAAAAGTCTCATCCCTGCTGCTACACTCTCGTTACCAAAATTCATAGAAAGAACGTTCAGATCAACAACTTAACCAATCTATGAAGTTTACTAACTTTCAAAGTAACATCTATTGGTTCATTATACTTCAAAAAATTATAATAAGTTCATGAGCGGATTCTATAAGTTTAACATCAACACAATCAAACATTTGAAGTTGTCTTGAAATCAACATCTCGTATTAGCCTTAGATAATATTATTTGTATAACATACAAATACTAAACTAATAGATTCAATAATTTAAACTTTTGTTAGATAAAACTTTAAAATCAGCGTAAGAGAAAGAAAAATCGTAGGTGTCAGAGGACATGAGAACGGGGGGAGAGTACGAGAGTGTCACGACTTAATTTTTTAGGCTTTGAAGCATGGTTGGTGACATGGACTAACACTAAAAATATTATAAAATTTTGCGCAATTTAAAACAAACACGGCATCTAAAAGACAAATCCAAGTGTCGTTTCGAAGTTTATTAAAACATGGAAAACCAAGGTCTGGGATATAAAATCGATCAATAAATCCCTAAAGGACTACCTCTCATTGGAAGTATTGAACATAAAATAGATTTCATCCTGGGGGCTGTCATTCCTAAAAGACTAGCGTATAAAGCCAATCTAACTGAGAGTAAAGAAATTCTGAGGCAAGGGGAGGAGCCCATGGAGAAGGGTTATATACGAGAAAGTTTGAGTCCATGACATAGTAAAATAAGAAATTGTTGGTTTGGAAAGTTTTTGAAAAGCTAATCATAGGTTCTTCTCTCCATCGGAACAATAGGGCCGTTATGCTCATTACTAAATTTGTTGAAGAGAAGTCGGAGAATCCGCTATTTCGGCTACTATATTAGTGTATTCCATTGCCCTCAGTCTTATTGGTGTCAAGGAAAGATGGAACTTGACACGTGTGTCGATTGTAGAGTCATCAACAAAATGACGGAAAAGTATCGACATCTTTTCTTAGACTAGATGATATGCTTGATGAATTTCATGGTTCATCTCTATTTACCAAGTTTGATTTGAAATCTGGATATCATCAAATTAAAATGCATATAGGAGATAAATAGAAAATAACTTTCCGAACTAAGTTTGGATTGTATGAATGACTTGTTAGCTTTTTGGGCTAACTAATGTTCCTAGTACATTTATGTCGAATATGTTTTGAGATAATATTTGGGAAAACATATTATTGTGTTTTTTATGATATTTTAATTTATTTGAAGACTTTGGTTGAGCATGTAGAACATGTTAAGTTAGTTTTTATTACCTTTAGAAAAGAAAAATTTTATGCTAACTTTAATAAGTTTAGTTTTTGTAGGGAAAAAAGTTAACCCTATTGACTTCGTAAAAATGGAGTAGGAGTACATGAAGAGCAAGCTAAAACAATTAGGGATTAACCAACACCAAAAAAATGCAAGTGAAATTCGGAGTTTTCATGGGTTATATAGCTTCTATAGGAGATTTATAATCGATTTTAGCACTATAACTGCACCATAACTCCACCATTGAATGATTTAGAGAAAACAAATGTTGTTTTTAAATGGGGAAATGCGAGAATGCATTCAATGAGCGTAAGAAGAAATTACTAATGCACCATTACTTGTCTTGCCTAACTTTGATACAACTTTTGAATAGAGTGTAATGCAAGCGGTTTGGGCGGAGGTGTTGTTTTGATGCAAGATGGAAAACCCTTGATGTATTTTAGTGAAAAACTAAATGAGGCAACATTGAACTATCCTACCTATTATAAATAATTTTTTTTAGTTCGTACATTGCAGTGTGGCAACACTACTTATGGCCGGGAGAGTTTGTGATCCACCCTAATCATGAAAGCTTGAAGTATCTTAAGGGTCAAAGCAAACTGAACCGTAAACATGCAAAGTGGGTGGAGTTTATTGAAACATTTTCATATGTCATCAAATATAAGTAAGTTATACTATGGTGTTGATACATTATCTAAAAGGTACAATCTATTTGCTTCTTTTAGTACAACAATTCTTGGATTTGAGCCGTTGGCACTATTTATGCATCTTGTCTTGCGAAAAACGCTATGGATGATTATTATGTGTTTCTATTTAAGAAAAGTAAGCGTTGTATTCCTAAATGCTCTTTAAGAGATTTGCTTGTAAAAGAAGCACAAGGTGGTGACTTAATGAGACATTTTGGGAATAATAAAACTTATAATATGTTGCATGAACTCTTCTTTTGACCGAAGATGATGCACGATGTTCATAAGTTTTGTAGCCAATATTTTAAATGTAAAGAAGCTAAATCTACATCACGACCAAATGAATTGTATATAACTTTGAATATATCTAACAAACCTTGGATTAATATGTCTATGGATTTTGTTCTTAGTTGTCCGCCCATGAAAAAGGGTAAAGATAGTATTCTTGTTGTTGTAGAGAGATGTAGTAAAATGACTCATTTTATTGCATGCAACAAGATGGATGATGCAAAACATGTTTTTGACTTATTCTTTAGGTAAGTAGTAAAATTGGAGGGAGTCCTTAGAATTATTGTTAGTAATAGGGATGTTAAATTTGTAAGCCACCTTTAAAAAATATTTTGGAGGTAAATTGGATACAAAGTTAATGTTTTCAAGTACATGTCATGCTCGGACTGATGGGCAAACCGAGGCGGTTAATAGAACATTAGAAACATTTCTTAAGACTATTATTTGTAAGAATATTAAGTCTTTGGAGGAATGTTTGTCATTGGTAGAGTTTGTATATAATAGAACAATTCATAGTTCCACTCATTTTTCTCATTTTGACGTTTTTTATGGATTTAATTCACTTACCCTCTTGATTTGCTTTCAATTCTTTCTAATATTTTTTTAGTTGAGCAATCAAGCAGATTTGATCCAAACCTGGTACGAAGAAGGTGAGGGAGAGAATTGAGAAACAAAATTTTAAAGTTGTTTAAAGAATTAACAAAGGAGGGAAGAAAATCATTTTTCAACCCGATGATTGGGTTTGGATACATTTTCGCAAAGAGCGATTCCATCTCGAAGGAAGACAAAGTTACATCTAAGGGATGACCCTTACCAAGTTCTTGAAAGTACTAATAACTAATGCTTGTTAAATTGATCTTCCAGGAGAATTTCTAGTACATTCGACTTTCAATGATTCTAACTTCAGTACCTATATAGGTGATGATTTTCCTGATTCGAGAACAAATTCTTTTGAAAAGGGGGAAGATGATAAGGTTCACGGTGTATTCAATCTTCATCTAAAAAATTGGATAAGCTCGATTCAACCTTCCTTTCATGTGTTAGAAGATAATTTGATTGAGAAAGGACCATTTAGAGCTTGGCAACGGTAACTAAATATTTACACGATTGCTATAAATAGCACTTCATTGATATTTTTAATTCCATAATTTGGCCAAAAGGGTGGAAAGTTAGTGGTAAAAGTGATCCTAACTTCTTTTTCTAGTTTGACATTTAAAGGTCAGTTGGATAACTTACCAATCGTGGTCACTTACTTATTTAGTTTACATTTGAAGAGTTTGAAGTTTCTTTTGGAGAGACTATAAATACCACAAATTAATATCTAAATGACCGTTTTTTTATGAATGAAATTTAGCTGTCAAGTTGAGACTTTCACCCTTAGAAATTTAAGCATGTCTTTGTCATTTCTAAGTTTAAAGAAATTCTTGTGGTAGATTGCATCTTAGTCATTCAATTCACCCTTAATCAAGTTTGATGGTGAAGTGACTCAATTTAGAATAAGGTCCAAATCTTGTTTCTAGATCTTTGATCTTGAGAGGTAATCTAATTCTAGCCTTATCTCTTTGTTGATTCGAATTTTTCTTTGATTCAAGCGTTCTTGTTTCAACAAAAGCTTGGATCGGTGCTGAGAATTAAGATTGTCTTATCACAATATGTGTGATGTGTCTATAACACCTGCTCCAGAGTCCGCTCCCGACCTCGACCAGCTCCTTAGTTACATTAAAAACACAGAAAATATGAAATGAGTACAAAGACTCAGTAAGTAGCGTACTTATGAACTCTTAATCGTGTCCTTAAGATTTGTTAGGGTATCACACTACTTGTCATGTTCTTGTTCTTATCCGGAAAACTTATGCCCTTAGATTCTATTATTGAGTTCTTGTCATTGTCTAGCTTAAGGATCTTGGTTCTGGATTCTAGAGTTTTTATCCTTAGTTTTTAGTCTTAAGAAATTGGATTTTGATCTATGTTTTAGTTTCCTTTTTATCCTTGGTCCTTATCATTTTTCTTAGTCTTGTTCTTGGTTCCTGTCTCTAGTTTTTGTTCTTATTCTCATTTTGTTCCCTAAGACACTTTTCTTGTAATTTTGTTGCCTAAGACTCTTTCCTTAGGATTTATAGTACAAGACATGAACTTGATAACTTGTCTCAAAGGCTTCATGTGTTCCAAGCAACACAGCCTAAACTTATGTCCAAGACTTTATGTGTTCAAAGGGATGTAGTCTGAACTTGCATAAAAGACTTCATACGTTCTCTACGATACAGTCTAAAACCTACACAAAAATTTCTTACATTTTAAGTGGTGGGACACAAAGTTTGATAAGGTCTATATGAAGCAAACCAAGATGAACAGAATCTACATTTGAATCGACTTAAGTTCTATAAGGAAGAACTTTTTTGAAAAAATTGAGTCTTGGAAAAGCTCTAGAGTCGATTGTCCAATAAAGAAAGTTTGGGTTTGAACTCCGGTGAGAATAACAAATCCTGATAAACTTACTCCACAGTGCACGAGAAGGTAAGAAAATAATCTCTCACTCTTCCTTGATACTCCATCTTTAAGTTTCATGAAGAAATCAAGGACAAAAAGACACTGTAGAAGGGTGAGAAAGACGAGTTTCAAGGATAAGGATAGCTTGTAACGACAACACACGTCTTCTTCCCATCCAAGGAAGAAGACGATGATGTGGCTGATTAAACTTAACCTACTACTTTGTTTTTTTTCCCTCAAAATTAACCTCATTTCGGACGGACTCTCATAAAATTTTCAATGGTCATAGAAACTTGACTCCCTAAGAAAGTTGTCAAACAAATTTTGGAGTAAATCGGATACTAGAAGCTCGAGAATTGAGGCCCCAAACACGAACTAAGAGGTAAGTAGCTATCTTGAACTTTTCTTAAAAAATACTTGTGGGACTCACTTGGATTTCATTAAAGACCTTAATTTAAGTAGATTTAAAGGAATATGGGAGAAATAAGGAAAAAAAACCATGAGTTAAGGACCTAAATCGAGCGTTTTGCTCGAAAATCAAGTAACATTAAAATAACCCACTAAACAAACTCCGCTATCCATAAAATTTAAATTCTAAGTATAATATGATATGTTAAGTTTATATGAGTAGTTTGGTGGCATTGGATAAAGTTGAGTAGCTAAATCAAGTATGAAAGCAAAATAACCACAATGCCCTTATGTTAAATACATTTCGTTCCTGATTCAAATAACCTCCAAATATTATGAAATTTTATAATAAGTCTTATTTTATGATGTTAAAGGATTAGGTAAAGTTTTAAGACCATGGATCATGTTTGGGGTTAAATTTAAGGTGGTAGATGACCATAATGCCCCTAAAATTTCTATAAGACATTTCAGGTCCAAACACTCTCTAAATGACTCAAAATTTTAAACCTAGGTTTAAGTACATAATCTACTTAAGATTTCAATAATAATCTCTTTTATCAAAGCGAAATTTAGGGGTATGAGTTAATGATTAAGGAAAAAGGACAAGACTACCCCTAACAACTCCTTAACCAAGATTCACGATTTTGTTAGAATGTTGAAGGAAAATGTTATGTCCTTATGATACTTTGAATTACGCACATATTGCTATGAAGGGTTCATTATAGGAGGAAAAGGACTAGAATGCTCCTATTAATTAACCTAGAATTATGCACCTTAATGAACCCGTTTAAGGCCGGGAAAATTATTAAGTACCACGATAGAGTTTTTTTATAAGTTTATGTTATGTTTAGGATTAGACCTTAATTTTTAAGTAATCAAGTCGTTACCTTAAACTAAGATGAGCTCTAAGTTAGCACTTGATTTTTAGTAATCAGGATGTTATCTCATAATAAGCTTTAGGATAGTCCATGGTTTTTAAGCATTGTAGTCTGAAACCTACGTCCAAGGCTTCATACGTTCCAAACAATGCAGTCTAAAAACCTATGCTCAAGGTTTCATATGCTCCGAACGGCATAGTCTGAAACTTGCATCCAAGGCTTCTTACGTTTCCACCAATGCAGTCTAAAGTCTACATCCAAAGCTACTTAGGTTTCAAGTGACGTAGTTTGAGTCATTAACAAGTTGTGTTGTTAGAGGTTTAGGGTTTCTTGTGTTATGAGTCTGAGGACATCAATCCTTTGTTCTTAAGTGACTATTAGCATTCTTCTTGCCTCAGTGGACACAGGGCTTGTGTGGTGAGTTTTCATGGTTCTTGTCCTTAGAATGCTTTCTTGATTTTCTTGAGTTCTTAGGTTTTTGCTTCTAGAGTTATTCGTGTGACATAAGTCTTAATATACCTTCTTAAGTTCTATTCCAAACTTATAGTTTTGAACATTTCATGACAACATCTATATGTCGTTCATTGCATCATAAAGATCATCATATTCGTTGAAGTTCTAGAAAGATCATGAATGTCTATTATGGGTAAATTCATCATTTTTCTTAAACTTTAACTTTACCCCTAACTTGGTTTAGGTTCTATACTTGATTCAAACATCTTAAAACCTTGGATAATTCTTCGTGTCCTTATAAATAGGCTTTATTTAAATCCTTGAGTTATTTGGAGCATGTTTGAACCTTGAAATATCTTAAAGGAACCTCAGGGCATTTTAGTCATAGTCACCCTAAACTTGGTTTGAGCTTCAAACATGATTTAAAGATTCTAAAATTTTACTTACTTACCCATCATTAAATAAGACCTCATCATTAAATAAGACCTCTAAAGTTTTATGACATTTGGAGGTCATTTGAGTTACGAGCCAAAGGTAAGTTAGAGACATTATAGTCATTACTTGGTTTAGATATTTATGCTTATCTAATAAGCACTAAAATTCATATATAATCTTAGTATGTCATATATGTCTAGTATTAAAATTTCATGTTGTCAATTTAGTGAGTTATTTTAACATTACTCGATTCTCAAGCAAACCACTTGATTTAGATACAACAAGTACTTGTAGGGATTGCTAGGACAGCTTATTACGTGAGCATTTATTGCCTTAGGTGGTTAGAATATGCATCTCTAAGACTTGAAAAAGTTAATTTTAGATGAGAATGCATTATATGCATGATATTCCGAAATGCATGTTGATTTTTATACTTGGCATAAAGCTAATAAGGGAATATACAAGGGACAATTTGGACAAGCTATGTATGAATATATGAAATTACCAAAATGCTCTTTGAACAAGATTTTGAGATGAAAGTTGTTTTAAATGCTTTTTGTTGTGTTAAGGAGGATGAATGATTATGATATGTGCTGTCGGTGATTGATGGATATTTTGTCCCTAATCCGGTGATTGATGGATGCTATGTCCCTAATTCCTGTTGAGCTTGCATGAATGTTCATATTATAATTTTGGTGCTTTAGGTGATTGATATGATTATCTCCCTAATAAGCTTGCACAACGGTTTAGACTATGAATATCATGCTTTAGATTATGATACCACTCTAATACCAGTATTGTGAGTAAGGCCTAGGTCGGTCAAGGTAATACATCAAGAGGATTAGGTTCCCAAACTATATTGATATGGTTAGGAGTCTCGTTCAGGGCCACAATCCTATAAACCTATCCATATAAACCTATCCAGAGAGGAGGGTTGGGGCCACATAGATAGCTAGTCGGCATACTCAGAGTTGCCCCCCACCCCACCCCTCCAACTAAGACAACTTTGTGGTCATCTCGGAGGGTTCGATAATCTTCCCTGGTAGATGTTCAACACTCTAATGTCCCATAAGAACTTTATGAGGTAGCTCATCAACCTAAACTATCGATTATTTTGTTGCATAGGCAAAACATGCTAGTTAAGTCAAAGAATAGAAAAGTTGGACAACTTGTACAAACCCCTAGGAGCAAATTAAGACCAGAGAATTTCTCGGGAGAACTTCGAGGTCTCCCCAAATGCTTAACTAACGGTAGAGACAAGGCTCGAACTTCACAGACTCTAGAGAAAAGCCCATAGATACCTAGTAGGATAAGCATGCGATGAAGGTCTACAAGTAGATTGCTTATTGAGTATAAGTATACTCACTCCTTTCTACATTTTCTTTTTTAAGTTAGTGACGTTGTTGATCGAAAAACGACATTAAAGAAAAAAATTCTGTTGGAAGTCTGGGTTAGACCTTGATTTACAAGCCATGGGTTGAAAAAAGTCTTACTCAAAATGTTTCGAATTGTTGCGTCACTCTCCTGGTTGCTCCTCTGCTTCAAAATCCAATCCTCTGATGCTCATTGGCCCCACGTTAACTGTGCAATCAAAGATTCAGTGAGAATTTTTGTTTCTTTTCAATTATAAAAATAGGGTTCATAATAAAATTGGTATTGGAGAATTTGGGTACACGTACCCACAGCGTCTTGTCCTACTAATTTGGGAATAAACTGTCTGATATGATCCTCAGCCGCTTGCTCAGACTTCAACGTTTGACACTCGAACGAAATCATTATGTCATTCTTTCCATGCTTTTTTTCAACCATTTTCACTACATCCTCTTCCCAACTGTCTACAACAGAGATAATAAACTTACTGATGTTCATCAAATCCAAACGTACAATTACTTCAAACAAGATGTCAATATTTATAAACATAGCTCAGCTCAAACATTCAAGACGATGAGGAATAGAGACGAGAATTCTTGAAGTTCTCATCAAACTGAAGAAGAATCAATCGGGAAATAAGTTTTGTATAGCAATTTTGAGACTTACCCATGAGCATGAACGATGCTGCGAAACCGTGCAGCATCATGGCCTCTACGTTCAACAACGACAGTTCGTTCTTGCTTGTTCTGGCAGTACAACACAAAATGGAAATGGAGATGCAAAAGGATAGGAATGTGAACGAACAACTTAATAATATAGGTTGCTGAGGAAAGAGGAAAAACATATCATACATACATTGTAGTTCGTAATTGTGAGCTTGATCAAGCGGTAATCCTCACCTCTGCTACACTCTCTTTCACATTCCAATTCTGGAACACAAATATGTCACACTAAAATTATTAGCAAACTTAAAGATTGCACAACACCAATGTAAAGTAAACTAAGGGGGAAAAGATAAAAACCATGCATTCAAAAAGAAGGATTAGTACTCAGGTGCGAGTTCCGTTCCTGTTAAGACTAAAAAGGGTTGTGAAAACAAAGTACCCTACCAACACCGGAACGTCAATCACAATGTTCGTTACCAAAACCATACAAAGAAATCTTATCGTTTCAACGATTAGCAAAACCAACAATTTCCTCGAACCTTTAATTTCCCTAACCTGTTTGCTCTCGCTCTTCTAAAAACCGATGTTTCAACCTTGTTTCAGACTGTTTCCACAAATACCGAACCCACCAACCATGTTTCATAGTTATACTTCAAATGCTATTTGTAAGAAAACATTGATAAATTTAAAAGAATGAAAGGCAGAGAGCAGGGACAATGGGTGTGAAGGGTACCGGTGCCGTGTAGGCCATAGCAGACGAAGTGAGGAAGTTGAATGAAGTGGCCAGAGACAGAGCCACAAGGCAAAAGTGCAATAGAAGCAACTCCTTCCATCGCCATTCTCTCCTTATCTCCTCCTGATTGTATGAAACAAAATCAAGGCCATTAAGTTTATAAGAACCATCAATATTACAACATTCTTTCAGCTCTGGAAATAATAATAATAATAATAATTTGACTAACCATTTATACGTTATTTTTAAACTATATTGTTTTGAATTAAAAAAAGGTTGTGTCACAATAATAGAGTAGCCAATTTAACTAGAAAATATACAACAAAATAGATACAATAGAAGTAATCATTTCAGACTGCCTCACATGTACATTCTCCTTTTTCCCATAAACAAAATAATTATTAATATCATAAAGTGAATTAAAATACAAATGTTACCCAAAATCAGATTTATACATTTACTGAATAGATTTTGTGAGAATCCTACATTGGTTGGGGAAAAGAACGAAACACCCTTTATAAGAGTGTGGAAACCTTTCACTAGTAGACGCGTTTTAAAGCCTTGAGGGGAAGCCTAAGAGGGAAAGTCCAACGAAAACAATATTTGCTAGCGGGGGACCTGGGTCGTTACAGATTCATTAACATCAACCGACAAAAAAACTCTTTAA